AACACTGAAAATATAAATTAGAGGTTCGCCGGGTCAGCTAGTCAAGTGTAAAGGCCAATAATGCATTAATGTGGTCTCGCCTTTTTACCCAAATGTCTGACTAATCTGGTTGATCCATCCGGCTATTAGATGTAATAAGATCTGGCAACCCTAGGTTCGCCTTGGCTGGTCTTGGCGCTGCCGCCACCGTTTGCTCCACTTGCGTTTATAGACCCGCAACTACTATAACGGTTTTGTTATTTTTAATTACACTTTCTGTAGTTAATCTATAAAGATATACTTACCTACTTTTGTAGAAGAGGAGCTCGATGGCGCAAGTGGTTATCGCGTTCGGCTGCGATCGTTGAAGTTAAGCAACATTCGCAGTGGTCGGTCATTGGATGGGTGGCCAGAAATTTACTATCTCGAGCTACTCCGTCCTTCGGAAGGCACGTTAAGCCGTTGGTCCCGGCTGCATCTGCAGTCGTTAGCACCTACCAATCGGCACTGGGCCCACGTGGTAGGTCATGGCCCAATCTCCCTATTCCATCCATAAGGAAGGCCTGTGCCCCCGCAGTGGGGACATTCATAGGCTGGTGATGTGACTTTTGTAGAAATCGCATATTGCATTTCTATGTGTATTATACCTTCATGTATTTTAAGCTATAAATTGGAGAAACTCTGTTGTGTATAAAATTACTGATGTTCTATTTGTAAAACTTTTTTTCCTAGCTTACTGGTTCCTTAGTTTATGTATTGACGGTATACTTTGTATCTTTCTAAGAGTTCCGTACGCGAAAGGTAGTAAGGAGCCTTATTGCTGGCACTCACGTGATCGTCTGTCCGTCCGTTATCTATCACACATGGCAGGCAAATGGACAGAGCTAAAGTCCTCAGCTAAACTCTTAACATTTTCACAGTTTAAGCATCTTGTTGAACCAAAGCCATACAAATTGACACAAAATATTTTAAGTGCTTTCCCTTACATCTAAAATCCTAAAGGCTCGTAAAATAAATGTTGACCCATTGAGTGGGGTTTCGGAAGTTCTATAAGCAAGGACGTCTATAAATAGACAAATACTGTATTTTTATTTTAAAATACATTAAAAACAAATTAATGAGAAGCCAGCAAAGGCAGCTTTTTTGCAAAATTTTATTCCGAATAGAATTTTTTAACATCGAACATGAATTAAATTTCTTAGAATTTTCTGACAAATTAATAATGTTTATTTTTAGATACCTACACGTATATTTTACTTACAATATTATTAATTTAAATTATTTTGATTTTTAAAATTTTTAATTATGCAAAGTCCGACACGAACTTGACCGGCTATTTTTTAACTACTGATTGGTTAAGTGCACAAGTTAAATAGTTTATAATGGCATAAAGATCAAGGGATTTACCATTCAACTATAACCTACGAATAATGGTAGAGTTTGGTTAAACATCAAAAAAATCATTATGTACTGTAAATTATAATTACGTCAAAGTCATTGGGGCATTAATTCTTACCAAATGAATTACATTTCATCTAACGATTATTTATAATTAATGACGTACAATAACCCCATCAGTTATAGAATTAAAGAGTCGAATTTTGGAACTCATCTCTACTTTTTGTAGGAACCGATTTAACTTATTGGAATTGCAAACGAATAATTAATTTAAGCAAATGACGACATGCCAGTGAAATCATCTAGTGATAAGACTTAGTCTGTATACACGACAGTTAATACGACTATAATGTGTGATCTAGTTAAAAATTAATAAAACGACGAGCTACTCAATAATATATTACAATTTAATAATGTCAATTCAATATATGTTACAATTATCAGAACATGTATGAGTACTTATTAAGATAACTACTTATTAGAGATTTCTATGTTATGATAAGGTACCTAAATATATAATTGTCGACTGCCATGTCAGCATAACATTTTCTTTTCGATTTCCCCACTACAGGAGCACAGGCGAATACAATATAACCAAAGCACCCTGACCCAGTGTACCAGGTAGAAAAATCCATGACTCAAAACTGATTCATGTTCCTCTCGTAACTCAGTGTAATACATTTTTGACACCCAATGAATGGCCTTTAGGAAAATTTCCGTAGACTTCGCAAACGTAGAATAGTAAGACTTATTTCATTCACCCTTTCAACACACTTGCTTAGAAAATCCATCTACGAAGATTGTATACCTATACATGTTCGAAAATTCAAAATTACGGGCCATACAACGGAGCGTGCGGTATAACATTTTACCGCACGCTCCTATACATGGCGCCGTGCGTATCCTTTACGGGGTTTTTTCTTATTTCGGTCGAACCTCCTTGGAAGCGCGGTTAATCTATTCGTTTATCTCACCTTAATACTAAAAATAAAAAGAGGCGAAAGATGTAATTCTTATTTTCATCATCTCATTTTCTTATTAGAAAAAGTTTACATCATTAGGTACTTAAATTAGGTATTGGTACGTACGTTTTTTTGCAAATGTGTTGAATAACATTGTATGACATTTTGGCGGCAATGTTTTTTATAAACTAGTGACAATGGTAAGCCCTAGCTAGACGATTGTTATAACCAACTTACCGCACTAATATCATAGGTAACTAATACACAGTGGTGAATATAAGTCTTTGTATACCGATACACAAGCACCTAGGTCCTAATCTGTGCCAAGGTGGATTTTTTAAACTAGTTTCTGTTTACTATTACTGAAGACAGAGCTTCAGTACCTACCTTATTATGTTTTTTTAAATAAATATTTCCAACACTCACACTTATTAGTTTATCCCCAAAGTAAGCACTGTAGGCTTGTGATATGGGATACTAGGGTAACGGATAGAATACTTAAACTGATACATATGTAAATATATTTATATATAAATAATACATATTAAACATCCATGACTGGTGTACAAATGCTCGTATTTATCACACAAACATTTGCCCGCATCGGCTTTGAACCCGGGATCTCTTGAGTAGGCGACACCTTGAAACTCGGCGTGCAAACCATTCGGTCACGGAGGTTCGTCAAATAAAAACCGACTTCATAAAAACAAAAACACTAAAAAGTTAAAAAATAATACATAATATCTTATAGAAGTTTATGCACTAAGGGCATAAAGCAATGTATTATGTCACGGGCAATATATTGAATTCTGAGTGTTCGTTCGGGAATTATGGTAAGAATCCTGAATGAAGGGAAGAATTCAAGTCTGCCCAAGGCTAAGACACTGCTTTATACAATTGATGCATAATCTACCATTAGATGTAGAAATGTAGAAGTAAATATACTTATAAAAATCAATAAAGAAACTATGTGAGGATAACAGAAAGTACGTTATCGTGTAAAAATATAAATATCAGTCCCACAACTACACTTCAAATAAGGATGTTGGGCTCCCTAATCGAAGCTATGGGTAATCCGAAATCGTAATAACCGTAGGTATAATCTAAGTGTGTTATTAATCTACAAATATAATATATTAAACATTCAAAGTCTCTCTGTACAGCGGTTGACACCTAAGCCACGCAACAGATTATGATACGGTTTTTATCATCAAATAGAGAACTTTGTCACGGTCGGTTTATTATTAACTAGTTGTGCCCCGCGGTGATACCCGTGGTTTATTAGGGATATTTTTCCGCAATAAAATGGAGCCTATGTGTTAATCCAGGGTGTCAGCTAACTCCATACCAAATTTTAATAAAAACCATCCAGCCGTTTAGACGTGAAGAAGTAACAAACATAGTTTACACTCACAAACTTTCGCCTTTATAATATTAGTGTGATTAATAATAAAAAAATAGCACATCAACGTTTTTTTATCGATGCCAAAAACTTTACATTTAACAAAATTCGTAAATAAATCAAAATTACGCAAGTAAATTAACTTTTATTTACTTGTTCTTTCTTGTGTTGGTATGAGTGAGTGTGTTAAACGGATGGTACTGTTATTGTTTTAATTTATTTAATCTATTTTTCTAGTGCGTAACTAGGTATATGAAATATAAGCTTACCTTCTCCATAAAAGATTAATAACTTATTCTAGAGTTAATGATAACTTCGGTTTTTTTTTCAGGTTCCGTGGCCAGAAAACTGAGATGATGGTCATCTTTTTGAAAAATCTAAACGCAATATGTGTTTTTTTTTCTTTCCGCATCTAATCTAAGATTAATATTTTCGAAAAAAATGTTTATGGACTTTCGACTTCATTCAGTGTATTTTCTTAATTACGATGTTTTTTCTTATCTTATTCGATATTCAATGGTCAAAGTACTATTTAAATTGTACGCCGATTTCGCATGGGTTTATATTAAACTGATATAAGGTTGTAGAGTGTTGCGATTTTAATAATAACCTTCCTAACTTTTAATTTTTCTAGTGCTTTCTCCGGGATTTATTCCAAAAACATATTTTTTCCTGAAAACCTTGCCTAGATTATATCGAATGTGCCTAAAATAAACTTTGATACTGATATTACGCAGGTAGATACTGTTTATCAAAATCCCCTCATATAAATATTTTTTATCTTTATGATAAGAAGTGATCACGCATCGGAACGCGTACAAAAAACGAATTTAATAAAATAACAAGAACTTGTAGGTTGCCCCAACCATATGAATACAGAAGCCAAATTAGGTAGGAAATTACTTAATTTGTTTTTCATACGATTTCATTACGAAAAAGTTAAGGTTTATACATTTTTCACGAATATCTTTAAAACCTTATCTATAAGTAGATATCTACCTGTAATCTGTAGGTTGTCATACTTTATTATGTCTTAAGCTTTACTTACTTTTTAAATGAATAACATAATAAATCAAATAAACCTGGTGCCTTCATTTAATGAAGATGAACAATGATATAGGCAAAATATGATCAATGTAATTTATTCGTTTGTGTAGTTCCATTTCTTTTTTTTGTAATTTAGGTAAAAACCTCTTTATCGCCGAGATACTGTTTGCACGGCTGGCTAGCACAGATCACGGGTGTAATCGTCACCTTACCTGCGTGGGGAGCACGGTGTCCCGGCTCAGGGGTATCGACATTTTGCTAGCGGCGCCGCCGGCCGCGCCCCGGCGCCCGCCCGCGCCGCACCATCCACCGACCCGCCGCCACTACGAGCAGCCCGCCCGCCGCCGCACCGGTCCCGTCACGATATCACAAACAAATACGGAAAACACTTTCCCCCAAACGCGATTTTCCAACTCAACAAACTAAAATGTTTCCATAAAACGGCTGCTCCAATCCAATTTCACACATCACACAGAAACGCAGAGCTATATGCACGATGGTGGAGAACAACAATCCGATCGAACGAGACGTTAAAGGCTGCGTATGGAGAGCGGGAACGATACGTGACACGCGGCCGGCGCTCAGGCCCGATAAGCGCGAGTGTGCGAGTGGAGCGCCGCGCCGTCGCCACCGCGCATCGCACCCCGCGCCTTCGCTGGCTCGGCCCTCGTGCGCCTCCTCGCAGCCTCCTTTATCTCGCAACCCCAAACTCTCCGGCTGATCACATGGACACGTGCGGCGGCGACCCGTAGTGCAGTTATCGAGCGCGAGTACACATGCGCACTGCACGCCACTATCAACGCCGCGGCCCATTCATTTGTACTGTACCACTCACTACAACACCCGACGCATAATGCACACCTGAGCAAATATTATGGAATGCGATGACAATAGCCCCGTTGTTTCCCATCCACAATTACGGCAGCCTTTCTAAGATATGTGTACCAATTCAATTCGTAGCACAAGATGCACTCTTTTCTTGAAAGTTCATTCATAAAACTAACAGCTAGTCAATGAAACAAGAAAACGACGTATAACAACCATAACAAAATAGTATTTAACACAATAAACAACAAGTGTTGATAAGATCTAATTTACAACAAATTATGAACTGTAGTAATATGACCTTAATTACTTTTACAAATAAATTGACTATGAAATTATAAACTCGTTGCTTTTAAGCTTGATAACTTTCTAATAATATATGTAATAAATCGTTTATAACATCTATTTTAGATATTCCTTTCAAAAATATTCTCACTTAGAAAATCTTTCACGATTGCCCATTTCAACAATTAAAAACGATTGCACAAACACAAACAATTTATTACATTGAAGGTTTATTAGGATTTCGATACCTAAATGAAATGACGTGTAATTTAAAAATCCCCTTGTTCTTCATACTGTGATTGACTCTAAAATTAATTAAAAGCACGATCTTTGGTCGTTCACTAATGGTTAGCCCAGTAGGATTAATTTTTAGGCTCTTAATAATCTGAAGGACGTTACAGCGGTAAAGAAAAATTGGAAAAGTTGCCTAAACATTTGGTAAGTTTTTAAGAGAAGAGAAAAAATGGAGTGTTTTTTTGTTCGAGGACCTTATATAAACTTTAGGTCATTAATTAGCTCACGGTCTGAACATCAAGCAACTGGATATGTAATTTTAATTCGTCATGGTAAGTACTACAAAAATATTTAAGCAAAAATAGCAATATTATAAAATAAGTAAAGTATGATTATTCACAGCAATACAGCCCTCCCTTTAGCATGACCACTAAAACGGGATATAATAAAGCTTTTTATCGAGTCTCAACTGTCAAACTCCACTGTAGTCCGACAGTTAATGCCGATATATCGCTTTATCATATCCCATTTCGGTGGTCATGCTAGAGGGGCTGGAATATGTAAGAAAAAAAAACAATAAGTAATGCATATTCAATGCTTTTTATTTAGGTCTTTACACTGTCGGGACCAAAATTACTCAATTAACTGCTTTAATACAGCTAAAACACCTGAAAAATCTGGATATGTTCATACTTATCTAGATGTACATACATACACATGTGCACATACAATGGCACATGGTGTAATCAAAACTGCACAGCCAACAGAATTAATCTCGCATATAAAATTCCCATAGGTGTGCTTTTGAATATCATCTGTCGTTAATGAATAATGAAGTGCGCATGAACTTTACCTACAAAGAACTACACCAAAGATCCAAAGAAATCAGCAATCGACACGGAAACCCGTTTTATTTTGTGTATTTAAAAGAGGTGTGAAGAAGCATTTGTGCAAGCCCGCAAGGTGAGGGCGGTTTGTGTGGCAATTCATGACTGCTGCACCGGCTATCTTCGCGTCTGAACTTTGCCACCGCGTAACATCAGATAGCATATCTAGAGTCAATTGCCTACCTTAATCTATAAAAAATAACCAAAATTCTAAATTAGAATTTCATCACATGAGGAATTGCTTAAACATTGTATGGATAAGATACTCTATGAATAAAACTTTCTACCTAATACTCATAATGAAACAATTTTTTCAAACGCTGCTATTAAAGCGCATTATAAACATGATTATGTTAAAAAATTGGGCAAAGAAAATGTTTTGATTTATGTATAAACTAGATTTCATGCAATAAAACCACTGAAAATGAAGACTACGAGAGTATGGAAGATTACTCTAATAAAATATCTAATGTGCCTATAAATTTTGAAGTTACCTAAAGGAGATTGCTTAGCTTCCATACATGTTTGGCCTCTTTAGGCCAACAATATTGGTCTTTACCAATAATCATGAAAAATTGTTTCCTAGATTCGAAATTATATATAAATTACTGTAGAAACGAATATTATTGATGGACACCCCTGAGAACTTCTATAAACCATATACATTGAACATATTATAATAGTAAAAAACAAATAAGTTATATAGTTAACTAGGGAAATCAAGCCAAGTACCAAAATTATGGATTAGATACAGGTATATAGAGCATGTAGATTAACAGATAGTTGCCTGTTTTTAAAGTTAATACATAAGAGTAACTTTTAAAATCAGGTGTCATCTATGCATTTCCGGTTATATTAAGGTACTCTGTGACAGAAACTGTGTGATGATTGTGAATGAGCCACAGATTAGAGAGAATTTCTAAACTCTCGTTAACCAAAGAAAGCTAAGAGATTTAGGTTATATAGCCATATACTGAGTAGCTTCATTATTTTTGTTATGTTTTTAATATAACCATATTTTAGATTTTTAGTGTATCACATCTTATAATTGTATTAATTTATAGTCAGGCAACGTACGACCATAGATAGATACCTTAAAGTCTAACATATATACAGATTATAATGTGTTTATGGAGGTGTTTGGCGAAAAATGTATGGCAATAGACTTTATGATGTCGCCTACCATCTATAATAATTGTCTGAGCACATTTGCTTGTAGTGAAAATGATAATATAGTTGTGGATATTAATACCACAGTGTAATAAAAAAAATGCTTTATTTTATCGATCTTTAGAAAATAGATTTGTTTTTATGTTATATATAAACAACTTCGATCAGTCTTGGGTATGTTACTATACCCATAGCCATTAAAAATGATTTGTATGTTTTCCAAACCGGTAAAATTAAAAGTCATTTTTCAAGTAAATATATTATACAAAGGTGTCCGTTAAAATATAAAGTTGAAAAAAAAATAATGTCTGTAAATTAAATTATAAATTACGCCAAGAATTACCGTGTATGTCAATATTTTTTGTGCATTTGGGCCAATTTGAGCAATCTCCCTAAATTTCTCCAAGATCCCATGATCAGATCAGAACCAACAAGGGCGTACACTCTATCAAACCAAAAAAGAATTTTCTAAATCGTGACCCCCCAATCTAAGGTCGAATTGAAAAATCTCAAAAATTTGCCAAATATAAAAAGGAAATTTCTAGCTATCTCCTAACAGCGATAACATAGTTTGCTGACATCTAGTGGTGTTTTTATGAATTACGTACGATAACCAAAATAACTTGAATGATATCTGGTACTAGTTTAGAAACAGGGAACCAAAATAGTAAACGTAGTTTTGGTAATCCTAGCAAAATCGATATGCGTCGTTATGATAAAGATTGTATAACAATATTCTAATAATGTAATTTGTCGGTTTATTGTAAAGATTCAAGATAAAGGCTGTCTACTTAGTTAAAAACGTGGTTGAGAGCTAACATGTTAGAAGAGCGATTAACAGATTTAGCTCTTCTAAACATTCACCCGGAAATAGTACCAGACGTCTCAAATATATCACCCGATTCGCAAATACAAAAAGACGACTTGTTTTATAAGTAATGTATAAAATAAAATTGTGTCTTGTGCAATAATGTTTATTTTATTCCAGATACCTATTTTTAGGGTTCCGTACCTCAAACGGAATCCTTATAGGATCACTTTGGTGTCCGTCCGTCCGTCTTTCAAGACCGTTTTTCTCAGGAACGCATGGAGGTATCAAACTGTAATTCATATCTAATACTCAGGTCTGCTATCCATTGGAGTTGTGAAAAAATCAAACTTTTAAGCCAAAGCAATCAAAAGATACAGACAGCCCTTTATGCCGCAAATATTCGAAACTCGCACGGGAATCAAAGCCTACAGGGTAATTCCCGTGAACTTAGAATCTTAAAATTTGCTAAAGTAACGTCTTATATATCTTTATTTTCTTCAACTTCAACCATAAACATATACGTACTTTTGCTACTGACCGTTGAAACTTGTATAACACTAAATGGGCCAACAGATGTGTCCGGAGGTAAACATTACAAATCGAAAAAATACTGGTTAAAAAACCTGGTTTAGAGCATGCTAAATCGTTAAGAGAAGGTTAGGAAGAATAGAAGGTAAGAACTCGAAAAAACGGACTGTTGAGTTAATAGAACTTAGGAGGGCGAACACCTGTGCTATCGTGCACCCGTGTCTGAGAGAGCCTTAACTGTACACTGCAAAGTCAACAGACACCATTTTAATTAATCAATTTATTTTTCCTTTGTTTTTCATGTGTTCTCTTCTTTTTGGTATGGGTTTCATACTGTTCCGAATTTACTGCTCTCAAAAATTATCAGTAAACTTTCTGCTGATCCTTAATAGGATGAAGTAATAACTTATTAACTAAAAATAAAAATTATGACCCGCTCACCTTATTCTTTTGACGCTTGCGATATCTGAGGGCCCTATCATTGAATATAATTAAACCTGATAGCCCTATTCCAGGGAAAACCGGCAACATTGTTAACAACAAGAACATCATCATCAGGCTATTAATGTCCCCACTGCTGGGGCACAGGCCTTCCCTATGGATGGAATAGGGAGATTGGGCCATGACCCACCACGCGGGCCCAGTGCGGATTGGCGGGTGCTAACGACTGCAGATGCAGCCGGGACCAACGGCTTAACGTGCCTTCCGAAGCACGGAGGAACTCGAGATAGTAAATTTTTGGTCACCATTCCAATGACCGACCACTGCTAAAAATATAAATAATTATTTGGCTGCAGTCTTCTCTACGGTGAACGTTATATAACTTAAAACATCGATATTAATTGAGCACGTCTGCGTCAATAGAGCACATTGCGTCTCTGTGAATATTGTAAAAATTACGTTCACATAAATGATTGAAGAGTCACAGGTGTTATCTTTAACAAGGAATGTGTCAATTGTATATCGACATTGCATAACGAACGACATGTATTATTAAATTATTATTATTGTGTTTGATGTGTGGAGTGGAGTATCTTACGCCCGTTCTTAAATTTTTGCTTAAAGAAACAAACAATTCTTTTCTTCTTTCTTGACTGCAATAAGCTATTGGTCTAGTTAAGTTTTTTGAAAAAAAACAGTAAAGAACAAAGATGTATTGCATCTAGTCGCACCAAACTGTTGCGTACCTAACGCAATGTAGCCAACTCGAAGCTGAGCCCAACTATGAATGTGCGTGCCCTCCAAGCTGCTACAGTGGAAAACGCAGGTTTTGTATAAACAAAGATAAGCTGGACCTTAAAAAAATTGTAACTAGAAGGATAAATTTGTATCTGTTATAAGTCGAACGTCGCCTCAATTTTCATATTACTGTATCGGAGCATTTTAAATAATTTTAATGAATGGTTATATTTAGAAGATAATCTGTAGGACTACGTACAAAAATTTTAACTCTGTTGAGTGACTACAAATAGAGAAAATCCAATCAGAGGTGAGCCCTGATTTCTTAAGTGTTCTAAATCTTACTCTACTGCTACAAATTTGCAATTAAAGCTAAGTTTCTTCGGCAAGCTTTAAATTTAGCAGAAGTAGAGAAGTAGTTAAAATGCTACCCTGTGAATACGATAAGGACTTTTCAAATTAACAATCGGTATTCCTAAAGCTATTAGAAGTTTATGATACGGTTACGGCCCATTGGTTTATTACACCAGTCAACACGATTTTTGAGTCTGAGTTCTTTGTACCAGATTTTGATTTCTTATACCTAATACTTTTTAATTGTAAAAAACAATATTTTTATTGAAGTTATACTTCTTTAGGCGCGTTATGAAAAAATGATGAGAGTGAAATTTTAAAATGCGCGCGCATCACTGTAACACAAAAAATTAACAGCATGAAGTTGGTGGCTTTAGCGACCAACTTCATGCTGTTACTTTTGTGTTTACCGCACATTAAGAAAATCTACCAACAAAATAGAAATAGAATCTCAGAATAGAAATTTAGTGGGTGCTAACGACTGCATTGTGAAGGCCTATCAAAAGTATTTATTAAGCTGGAACAAGGGAACCAAAGCACGATTCAGGAAGTCTCCTGACCACAGCGCCATCTCTTGACCATTGGTGTAGTAGAACAAAAAACCACATCTTTATTTTTTGTAATAAAGTAACAGTTATAGGTATTCATATTTATAATATCAAAAGTATTTATTAATCTGGAACAACGGAACCAAAGCGCGATTCAGGAGACTACAGCGCCATCTCTTGACCATTGGTGTAGTAGAACCAAAAACCACATCTTTATTTTTTGTAATAAAGTAACAGTTATAGGTATTCATATTTATAATATTTATCCACATGTTTCTAGTTTGTATATTCGGAATACGTGTTTGAGTTTCATACAAGTGCAAATCACATATGTTCTAATAAATTATATTCAGTAGCGATTTTAATTGAATATTTTGATTATTTATTTATTTTTTCAAATTAAAACTGAACTTTATTGACTGTGTCCTTTTCCAAACTTTTTATTAATTTATTGTAATTAATTATTTGCATGCAATTAAAAACTAATTTTAAACGATGCCAAAGAAGGATAACTTCTCACGCGCCTACATAAGTACACGCACCCATTTTTTAAAAAAGTTTGCTTTTGTAGCTATCAGAATGAAATTTTAAATTTCATGGAAAATTGCAAACTTTTTTGTTTAAGTTGTATATAACAAGAAAATAATCATTAATATATTTATTTAAAACTCTTTTATTTACTTTAGACATATAAACCAAGTCTATGAATACAAAAAATATATTAATTTAGTTTTAAAAATTGATATTTTTAGCATATTTTATAATTTTTAGTCTGAAAATTTTCTGAAGTAAACAAAATACCATGGACATTTGGTATATCCTCATGTAACGCCCATATTTTATCCTGACTTCGAATAGAAAGTTAAAGTAGGTAAGCTTCATAATTATGCTTAATTATGCCTTTTACTACTGGATAAACAACATTTTTTGACCCTAAATTTAATAAAATCTCTGGAAATAAATCAATCAGAGTCCACGTAGTTTTTACTCATTTTGGAAGGCATTTACCGCTCTAGGCATTTACAAAATACGTAGTTTCTCTAAAAGGTGCGTACATGCACTGAGTGATTGCTCTACTGCTTCCTATTCCATACCTAATATCCTTCTGCACTCCTTTCATTTGCTTATTAAAAGCGGTAGATCCTCAGCCTTTAACAAGTCATACATATTTATTTATCATTGTATAAAGTACAAAAGTAAACTCTTTAAAATAAAAATGAGGTTTCTGGTTATTTTTCGATATAAACAATTAGACAATAGTCATTAAATAACAGACTCAAAAAATTTTTTTCATTTTGTTTACTTATGTTATGAATAGGAAACATTAAACAAGTTGCAGGTGTAATTTTAGCAAGCTCGTTCACTAAAGGAGCCAGGAGTGCGTAGGCGCTTAACAAGGCTGCACAGTCCTCAGTAGCTCGCCCACTTTTGCTTTCTGCTACATTCACCGCTCCAGATTACGTCACGGCAGCACCTAATATACATAGTAGTCTAGCCCTTTTCATTCATATTTGCTGTCGTGGGTGGCAGCCTTGTGTTCGATTTCGCAAAATTTTCGCAGATTTTGATTATGTAGCTAACGGAAATATTTCTCACATAAATATTTTTCATGTTAGTGTAATTTACTCTTCTAAATCGAGTACTGGGTACTTCATCTGCCTCAACCTCACGTTCGTTCGCAGTTCCTACGTGATATCTCCATGAAGTTTTTTGTTTTACAAAAGTACCTACCTTTTTTCAATT